GATTGATAATATTAGTTTATAATATAACGCTATATTTATTTCAATTGAATTCTCACTTTAGATAAGAGTTTTATTATTGTATTCAATGTGTATTAATATACTGTAATATTTGATTATTTAGAAAATAATTTAAATCTATTTTAATGTTACTTTAAATGTAGCATAAATCATATCAATTTATTAATAGATAATAGTACTGTAGGCTGAAAATTAAATTGCTAAATAAATCATGCTCACTCTATTATTTGTGTTTGTTATAAAATTATGTAATTTATGTGATAGTTTAGGTTTAAGTAAAATATGATCTTTTAAATGGAAATGAAAATTAAGTATAAATTTGTTTTATGTCAAAAAATATTTATTTTCTAAGAAAATTAAACTGTAACAAATAATACCAGAAAATTTGTAATTTACGTAAATATTTTTTTAATTTATAAATAATTGGTTTACTATATCAAGAACTTTATAAATAAATTTAGTTGTCAAATTATTTTCATACTGTATGTAATAATGTCACGTTTATTTTCAAATATTTGTATAATAGCATAAAATGTAAAATATTAATACAAATAATTATGCCGCATATTTTGTGAATATAATTCACTATTAAAATATAAAATAATATTTTTACTTGTTTGGTAAGGTATATAAAATTATTGTGCAGAAATTTAATTAAAATATTGTATAATAGTATATTACGGAGATTTATATCATATTGATAAAAATAAAATACTTAAATATAAAATATATACAGTGTTGTAATTATTAAAACACAAATGATATTTAGTTATGTTATTTAAATTATCACGTTCAACTCATGATAAATATATTAAACATGTTTCATGATTACTTCATAAATTTTTATAAATTATAACTAATGTTGCACGGTGGGTAATATTACGCATTTTACAGTGTAATATTACGCGTATAATGACAACCTTAATTATAACACATTTTAAGATATCATTTAGACTTCAATAACTACATGAGATATGGATTTAAAATTTTCTCTTTAATATGACAAACAAAATAAGTGTCAATAAGGAGAGTAAAAGTAGGGACAACTCGATGATCACAAAAATATCGGGATATGTCTCGACATATATGCCAAAAATGAGGGGCGGTATGAAATTAATGACCCCGCACGTGCACCACAGGAATGTCGATATATTATTAGTTATCGGTATATGTTTCTCGAAGTAAGTCATATGCCCGGGGAATAGGGCCGACACGGCCACCCCTATCACCCCACTCATGATCCATAGGCCGGTGACCGACTTGTGGACAAACATCAGACAAACTAGCGATACGACTGCCACCAGGGAATGGTAGGTAATTATGTGCTCGGTCTTCACGATCATTGTAATGAAAAAATTAAACGCCTGTCCAATGGTATAGCAGGCGGTCATGGCTGACACCACGCTGGCAGCCGTCGACGCGGACAGTCGTATGGGTATGTACTGAAAATAGGTTGAGCCCATATTGAAGTACATGAGCTCCAGTGTGTTCAAAAGGGACAGGCATAATGTCATCGCAGTTATGGTGGTTATCTTAGGAAACCATCTGCCGGTGCTGTGCTTATCCACCTGTCCATCGTTGTCAACGTCTATCTGTTTGGGTTTCTCATACCGTTTCGCGACAAACATTATCAACAGTAGTATTGGGACTGAAAATGAAAACATAAAATTGACTTTTACTTGAAAATACAGTATTATTTAATCATTATATAATAGTATAAATAATTTATTAATTAAAATAGAAAGTTAATTATAAAATATTTATATAACTTGTGATAATGTGTTGAAATGTTTATCTATGAATTTGGTAATTGTTTTAGAAATAATAAAATGTAAATTATTGTCATTTTATATCTCAATATCTCTCGCAATGCCTTAAAAGTGTGTTTTAATTATTATTAAAATCAGATAAAACTCACAATAATTTCATAACACAATTGTCACACAAAAGCACACATAAGTTTAGGCAGTTTTGGATAATTCAAGGTTTAGACTAAAATATGATTTTAAAACTTTTGTTTTATTAAAAACGACTCAATTAATACATAATATATTTCAAATTAAATATTATCCAAATATTTATCATCCCAACCCTTTTTAAAATTAGCGTTAAATCCCTGTCCTTTAATTTTTACACTATATTGCTAAATAACTCCGCGCCCTATGGCCAAGGTTAAATAATTTAATACTTAGCGCTAAAATTAACTATAATTTACATAAAAATAAAAGTTTTAAAAACTCACACAAGGCTTGGATACCACCGCTGATCATGAAGGGCACCAACAGCTTGGCTCGTCTCTCAGCCACGTCTATGATTACCGGCTTATCCCATATATGGGTCGCATTGGACAGTAGGTCCAGGGATGGGTCACCCGACAGATAGGGTTTGTCGAGTAGGGGTCCCATAATAAAGCCGATGCCATACATGAGCTGAGACAGGAATAGTAGGGGCCCGGCGTGGCGTTGCCATATCTCGATGATCCAGGTGTAGTATGCGGCCACCCAGACCCCGGTGCCCAAACCAAACGTAAATGTGCATAGGTATAGTTGCCATAGTTCTGTGGTAAAGGGTATAACACCAGTGCTCAGGGACATTAACAGCATAAACACTATTACTAGTGATTGCCGGTTAAGTCGGTTAAATAGTAAGCCACCTTGATAATTAAATATTTAGTAAAATTATTACATTATTATGTTTAAAATGTAATGATTGTTACTTACATAGAGTTCCCAATATATTACCCACGGATATAAATATAGGGATTTGTGATATGTTTTGTATGGATGTGTTTAATAGGAACTTTAAATCCACAAATGCTGGACCAAGGGTAGAAATGCCAAGTGCCTGATCATATGTTAAAAATTAATAAATAATTTTAAAAATATTTTACAATAGTTCTAAGTAAACAAATATTCTTAAAACTATAAATTATAATAAAATTATAAATGTATATTATATATGGTATTAAGTATTAGATATCTAGTATATTTATTTGCAAGAATGATAAAACTGATACTTACAAAAGCAGCCTGCTCAAATAGCAATATGCCAGTGTAAAAGTATAGATTTATATCCACACCAAACGCTTTATTAAGCATTTTATATTATTGTTGATAATATTTCTATGCGATTAATGATTGAAAACAAAAATTATATTTCAAATTTTATACATCATTTAACTTAAGTTTACTCGTAATATTTTACTAATGATAATGTAATTCAAAGTAAATTATTAATAAATTATGTGAAAAATCTGATTTCATATTAAACAAAATAATATTATTAAAAAAGTTCAAATAAAGTAATGTAAATAAACTAGTACTGTACTAAAATACTGAATGCAATCAAAATGTAATTTATAATAAAACTTGTGGGGATATGTCATAAAAATATATTATAAAATACATATACCACTCATGTACATACAGTATTGTGGTATATAAACAGCTTTTATAACATTAAAACATTAAAAATCAAAAATATAACAATTTGCTAATACATTGTATATCCAGTGAACTAAATAAGCAATAGTTTTGCGTCAATCGATAGCTACAACTTATTATGAGTTGTAAACTGATGGCCCATATTATACACAATAATTGTATAATTATTATACACTTATCTACAAAAGGCATAAATTTTAAATTAAATTTTTCTCTTTTTTGTTTGCTTTTGTTTTATTCATTTAATTTAACTTTCATTTTTTGACATTTTTCTGTCTAATTGTATATGAAATCAAGGATTTGAGAGAGAGAGAGAGAGAGAGAGAGAGAGACGTTTGTTAAGTTAGCTAAATATAACTTATTTATTACATAACACTATATTAAGATAATTTTGTTAAATTTATTCATAAAGTTATTATTTATTTAGTTATTATAATTATTTTATTAGTTATTATTTTTCAACAATAGACTTATAAAACTTTATTATATTTAAAATATTATAATCACTAATGATTTAATAATTCTGCTTAAAAACATCAATTTTTATAAAACTTTATTTTGAAAATTCTTAACACAAGTAACAGTTTTTACTTGCTATGTGAATTAATTTTTAAATTATAGCAAATATTATTTATACAATAAACCCTTATACATTTTAAATGATTTAATGCTAATTTTGTAAAATAACTGCACGTATGCCGTACGTAATGTTATAAATGGTTATGTTTTCTAAAAATAAATTTATCTTAATCAAAATTTTTGAACACTTTATAGATTAAAACATAAATTAATAGTGATTTTACAAAAAATATTCCATAATATAAATAGTTTTAAAATATTTTTTAATGTCAAAATGTTTCAAAATTTAGTTTATATAGATTTTTAAGGTTATGTAATTTATAATTAATAATATTTTGAATTAGAAAATATTTATTAAACATGGTTGGTTCTAAACTGAACATTCAGAATATTAAAATACTATTTAAGTGTATATTTAAGTTGTTTTTATTAGTATTAAATTGATGAACAATAGAAATTTTATTTAATTATAAATTATATTTAAAACAAATAAATAAATTAACACAATATTAATTCTGCAATTTACAATTGTATACGTAAATTGTTAATAATAATTCAATATATTTTACTAGTTTGTATTTTCTAAAATATAATTTATTATAAATAAAACAACAAAATTTTAAAACTTATAATTAACTTATAAAACATACAAAAATTACAATATATAAATCATTTACACTTAATAAATCACAGGATTAGATAATTCATAAGGTTACGAAATATGAATACTTCCCAATTAGTGTGCACCTTAATTAGCTATTACACTATTAAACCATTACTCGTAATCAATTGTGAAATAATTTAACATTAGTTTAATTAACACATTACCGACAAAATAACTGATAAAAAATTATTGTAAAATTACTACAGTAGAATATTTGAAAAATTTATTAATATTTATCATTAATACTGTATAATAAAACAATTTATTTTTAATTAATAATTACATTTACATCTGAATTATTTCAACACATTTTCAATGGCAGTGACCGACGGCTTAGGCTTATAGTTCTTATCCCATAGGAAGGCGTCCCCGTAATCCTTGTAGGCGTCCACCATCCAGGAGTACTTATCGGTAAACCCCCACACCGTTACCCCGACACACCTTTTCACCGACAAACAGTTGCTGTACACCTGTGCGTAATCCCGGGCCTGTTGTGCCTCCAGTTCCTTACTGGTGGGCAGTTTAATCCGGATATCCAACTCAGTAATCGCTACATCCAGTCCCAAATCGGCGAACCTCTGCATATTCTCTACCATATCTTTGGGTACTTGACCCAAAATCAGATGGGCCTGCATACCGACCCCCTGTACGGGAACTCCCTGTGCCAACAGCTCCTTACATAGGCTGTAGAGGGCGTCCGACTTGTTATTCTTACCCTCGACTGAATGCTCGTTGATATACAGCTTAGCGCTATAGTCGGCGGTACGGGCGGTCTTAAAAGCTTCGGCCACAAAACTACTGCCAAACGCCCGGTGCCATATGGTGTTCCTCCAGGTGCCATCGCCCTCAAGTACCTCATTCACGACATCCCAGGCGTATATTTTGCCCTTAAAATGGGTCATCTCGTCGACGATATGCTTTTTCATGACCTCCTCGAGCTCTGTCACATTGTGCTCCATCTCCTGTACCCATTTAGGTACTAGGTCGTGCCATACCAGCGCGTGACCCCTGACCTTCATCTGGTTGGCCCGGGCAAATTTTATGAGCTTGTCGGGCGCTGAGTACACCGGATGATCCCGCACACTCTCGACGGCCCCCCATTTCATACTGTGCTCGGGGGTCAGGCAATTGAACTCCTGTTCCGTCGTTGTCTTATACGTGGCGTCAGTGGTCAGGTATTTCGAGGCGAATGC